CCATTTTGTTTATCGACTTGGGGTTTGTCAGCCTCAGCAGCCAGCAGCTGCCTGAGTTAAGAGAAGCCTCCAGCTCCAGTGAGCTGGGAGCAGGAGGCAGACCTGAAGCCCAAGGTGAAGGAGCTTTTATGCAGCCCCTAGAGCTGGCACTTCGAACTTGGACTTCTATCCTCTTAAACTGTAAGAGAATAAAACTTCTGTTTGTTCAAGCCATCTTCACTCATGGTGTTAGAGCAGCACTAGGGAACCAAAACACTGTCCAGTCCAACTTGCAGTAAGCCCGGGCGTGTTGGGTAAACCGTGCTGATCTTACTGGCTGATTTTTCAGATGTAAGTTGCCAAGGCTTTCATATGGAACACGTTACAAAATGTCCTTCTTTGTCTCTAGTAACAATTTTGTGTTAAAGTCTGTTTTGTCTGATATTATTGTAGCCACTATAGCTGTTTTGGTTACAGTTTGATTATATATCTTTTTTTCCATCCTTTGAACTTTTCTGAGCCTTTGAATTTGAAATGTGCGTCTCTTAGAGACAGCATATAGTGGGATGATGTTTGTTTGTTTGTTTGTTTTTAAACCTGCCTATTTTGCCTTTTGACTGGAGTATTAATCCATTTCTATTTGCTAAAATGGCATGGGGTTGGTCCCTTCTGACCTCTTCCAGTCTCCCAAGGGGGAGGCAGAAACCACCAGCAGCAGCCCAAGGCTTATATTCCTGAGGCCAGACAGCCGTCACCCTCCAGCCTGTTTACCAACTCTGGTCCCCGCTGTCCCTCCCACAGCAGTCACCACTTCTCTGCTAGGTTCAGTAACTCCTTGCAATGGCTACAGGTGGAACTCACAATACTCATGATTATGGGGGTTATTGGGGAAGTAACAAGTTACAATTCAGGTTCAGGAATGCTCTCGAGATACAATTCTTTGATCAAGGCCTCCTCTCTGGCCCTTCGCCTCTTGGCCTGGCCTCTGCCCTGCTTGGGCAAGTGTTACAAAGCTATTTTTAGCTCTGCCAATAGGTGCACCTAGGTGCACCCACTCCACATGCAAGCTTATTGTTCTGTGAGCCAGAAAGCCCTCTGCTCTGTCTCCTGCCTCTTGGTTCCTCTGCCACCGTCCCCCAGCCAGGCATCTCTGCTGGGTGTCTCTTTCAAGGAAGTCCAGCACAGGGATCTCGGGTCCAAGGACATGTGACACTCCAACTCCTGCTCTTCTCTCTTAATGGCAGCGAGAGCCCCCCTTTCTGCCTCTGTTGTTGTTGTTATGTGTCATTAAGTCAGACCTGACTCATAGTGACCCCTCCTTGGTTTTCCAAGGCAGTATCGCTAGGGAAGTAGATTGCCCCATCTTCCTTCCGAGGAGTGGCTGGTGGGTTTGAACCGCCTGCCTTCTGATTAGCAGTCAAGTGCCTCAGGCACTACGCTACCAGAGCTCCCTTCTGCCTCTAGGAAGGCTCATGTTAACCCTGGCAGAGTGACAAAACCAACCAATCCCAACATCAGAGTTCTACACACTTTATTTGCATGGTCCCACCCAGCAATCCAGTGGGAGTTACGAAGACTATGACTAGAAAAGCCATACCAAGTCATACACTGCACCACAATATTTAATCCATTTACACCTCTTGGAGGGGTTGAAGAACTCACCCTCACTGTTCCCAGCCTGGAATACTTTTCTCTCTGCTCTTCCCAAGACTGGTACCTTCCCAAAATTCAGGTCTCTCTTGACTGCCACCTCCTCAGAGAGAATTTCCATGACAACTCTTCAAAAGCAGTTCCCACCCCGCTCACTGACTCCCTCATCATAACGCTTTTTGGTTGGTTTGTTTCCTTCATAGCATTTACGACAATGTGGCTTATCTTGTGTAGTTCACTGGAGTGTCCTCTGCTTCTCTGCTAGAAGGTAATCTCCACGAGGCAGGAGCTTTCTTTGTTTTCTACCGTATCCCTAGAGCTAGAATACACTTCAAACAATAGGACTTCAACACATATGGGATAAATGAATGAATGAACTTGCCCACCTTGAGCAATAATGTCAATGCTAACAAAATGGGTGGTGGTTCAAACCCACCCAGCCACTCCACAGGAATAAAGACCTGGCATTCTGTTTTCTAAAGATTAGTTACAGCCTTGGAAACCCTATAGGGTTCCACCCTTTCCTGTAAGGTTACTGTGACTCAGAATCCACTGCAATGAGTTTTGTTTGTTTTTTGTCTGCCAATGGCAGGATTCATACATCAGCATTGCAGTGGGGGTTGAAAGTGGCAGGAGGCACATACTTTCACTGTCAAGGAAGGATTCTGATTTCTGCAGACCCAGGAGCAGATTCTGGAAGATGTACAGGGCTTTAAAGTCACATAGATCTCGGTTTGAACCCAGGCTCTGGCAAAGAGAGCCCAAATTCAAAACTGCCACAACTGTGCCCAGTCTACTTTTCCTGCTACACATAAGTCTGCCACCAAGGCTGGAGAAAGAAGGAGCAAGCTGAACTAATGGGGGAGGAAAGAGATGGCCATGATAAAGGGAATGTTAAACAGTAGAGAATGATCAAGGGGACAAAACTCAGATATAGGAGAAATTTTAGACTTTGTATGCCAATAAATGTGAAAAATCAAGTCAATGGTTTGCTTTCCAGGAAACTTACCAAATGACTCAGGATAAGTCAGGATAACCTGAGGGGAAATGGAAAAAGTCATCAAAGGTCATATCATTTGCAATATCTAATAAAATAGAAAATATACACATGATCCAGCAACTCCATTTCTGGTACCATTATCCCCCTGCATGTACAAGATGCACTGTACCAATAAACTTGTATTGTATGTAATGCAAAAATTCAAAAACAATTTAAATATATGTATTCACAGCTTGGAATGAATTAAATCTATATAATTCATAATAGACTTCCAAAACATAATGTTGGAGAAAAGCAAGTTCCAGAAAGATATTGGTGCAATGCAGTGCCATTTATGTAAATGGAAACATACAGAAAACCACACTATGTATTGTCCATGGATATTACATATATGAAAAACCAAATTTACTGTCGTGAGTCAATTCAACTTATAGTGACCCTTCCATGCATTTCTGAGATGGTATCACTAGGGAAGTAGATTGCCCAATTTTCCTTTCAAGGAGTGGCTGGTGGGTTTGAACCACCAGTTTTCTGGGTAGCAGCCAAGTGCCTTAGGCACTATGCCACCAGAGGTCCTAGTGTGGTGTGTGTGTGTGTGTGTGTAAGTAAGTAAGTAGAAGTAAGTAAGTAAGTTAAAGTAAATAAAAAAGAGCTCTGGTGATACAGTGGATAAGCCATTTGGCTGCTAATTAGAAGGCTAGTGGTTCAAACTCACTAGCTGCTCTGTGGAAGGAAGATGGGGCAACCTACTTTCTTAAAGATTTTCAGCCTTGGAAACCCAATGGGGGTTGCTCTGAGTCGGAATCCACACAATGGCAGTGAGTTTGGCTTTTTTGATTTGATGTGTATAAAAACCCACTGCCATTGCGTGGATTCCGACTCATAACAACCCCCATTGGGTCTCTGGTCTCCAAGGCTGTAAATCTTTACAAAAGTAGATTCCCTCATCTTCTTTGCCATCCTTCTGGTTAGCAGCCAAATGCCTTACACACTACAGCACCAGAACTCCTTGTATATGTGTATATGTGTATGTGTATATGAATATGTACATAAAGGAGCGCTGGTGGCCAAGGGGGTTAAATGTTTGTCTGTAACTAGAGAGTTGGTGGTTCAAATTCACCAGCTGATCTGTAGGAGGAAGATGGGGCAACCTACTTCCTCAAAGATTTTCAGCCTTGGAAACCCAATGGGGGTTGCTATCAGTCAGAATTGACTAGATGGCAGTGAGTTTATTTTTTTGGTATTATATAGCAGTCTGAAAGAATACATTCAAATTAATCATAACAGAGCTGGGGGCAGCGAGGAAGTTGAGAGGAAGTGGAAGTCAAAGGGAGTTTTATTTTTATTTGTAATGGTCTAATATATTTTTGAATGAATTTTTGACAGCATGGTCATATGAGTCACGTTTTACTAAAAGTATATACATGGAAAAGAACTGGAAACAAAAAATGCCACAATATTAACAGTATTTACTTTAATTCCAGGTGATGGGAAATATGAGTGATAATTTTTTTAATCCTTTCTGTATTTGTAAATATATGCGTGAACATTGGGTAGATATTAAAAAATGTATAGTCGTGTGAAAAAAAAGCCAATTCAATATCAATACGAATAGTATGAAACTAAGTAAAATCCCATACACAATAAAAGCGAAACTGTTTTCTAAGGATATATACATAACCATATATATAATCTCCATATGAATGTGTGTGTATATATATCTCCACATGAATGTATGCACAGACATCTACATAAATTAACAGAAAGCCATCTGGAAGGATATATATATATATACTAAACTGATGATAATTGTCCCAGCGTAGAGGTTAGGATGGGGTCAAAGGTCATTTAAACCTAATATGCAAAATTTTAATATTTTGCAATAATTAATGTATTATTTATGTAACTAAAAATTCAAACACAAGATTTTTCGGGGAGAACTGCCTAGACCAGGTCCCCAGGTTCGCGCATTAGAACCTCTGAGGTAGGTTATTGACAGGCGCAGCCTTTCCTCCCCAAGGCCTGTTACCCAGTTGTGTGGGTTACACCTAAATTCCGTGTAAGGTAACGCAGAATGCTGATCCTTAATCTGTTTTCCGCCCTAAACCTATTTGAAACGAATCTGAGTCTAAAAACTGTAGCAAACATTTTTTTAAAAAAGACATGGTATGTTCTGAATCTTTCTATTGGGGTTACAGAAAGCAGATATTAGATGAAAACATGCTAAGAAAAATGTACTATAATTTCAAAATGAACAAAACAGAATACATAAACCATAAAAGAAAAAATAAAAAAGGCATTACAATTTTAGGAACAATAAACACTTTCAAATGTATTAAGTACTACTCTGGATACGCTGCTCTCTGTCTAGGTAGCGTGGCCGAGCGGTCTAAGGCGCTGGATTAAGGCTCCAGTCTCTTCGGGGGCGTGGGTTCGAATCCCACCGCTGCCAAGATGCGTTTTTTTTTTAATCTCTCTTGTTTTTATCCGGCTTCATTTTGCGCACCCGTCAGCGCCACCTGCCGCCAGGCCCAGCTCGTGGCCCGTATGAATGAAAGGGCGGAGGGGGCGGGTCTTGCGCGCGTCGGGGCGGGGCATTGTGGGTAAGAGGAAGCGCGGAGTCCGCCCAGCTCCCCCCACGTGTCCGCTGGAGTTTTTCCGCCAGCAACATGGCCGCTGCCTGAGAGAGAGCCGGGCTACCGCCGCCTCTGCAGCCCGTGGGTACCTGGGCCGTTGCCCTCGCCCGCGCGCGGCCCCGGTGGAGAGGTGAGTCCCAAGTTGGCTGCGCCCACATTCGGGCGTGAATCCGGCTGCACTTAACGAGGTAGGCCTGGCCTGGGCTCCTGAGTAGGCCGAGAAGGCCCGGGTCGTGCGATGCTCAGGGGCCGGGGTCCTCTCGGGACCCAGGTGAGAATGACCAGCAGCTTGCCCCACAGAGCACAGGCAGCCGAAGACCCCCACCCCGCGGCCCAGCCGTTGAGGAGTGAGGCGGCTGTCGAGACGATCGGCGGTGACTCAGGGTCCAGCCGCCTTGCCTCGCCAGGGTCGGGCCGACCTCCTCCAGGATCACCGGTCCACAGACAGTCGGTTGGCCCACTGGATTTTCGGGTAGCAGCGATGGCTACGTAGGGGGGCGTGAGAAGGGGGCCTGGCCTGCCCACCCGAGAGGGAGGCGACACCCACTGGACAATGTGGCTCGGGGCCGAGTGGCCCGCCCTGTTGAACGGGGTGGAGGGTACCCCGAGCCTGCCCGGCTTCCTTGCTCGCATCTGAACTAGCGCCCGGAATTCTTCGTTCATTTATTCAGGCTTGTTTATTGAGAGTCAACTATGTGCCGAGGATTCGACCCTGACCATTTGATCAGAGAAGGTGACGGAAAGCACAAGTAAACCAGTAAATAAAGAAGGTCGTTGTGGTCTGTTAGTTTTAGAATCGTTGAGTTTGGGGGTAGGAAGAAGAGATCTTAGCAACCGCCAGTTTCCTTGTGGGTGAAATGGGTATGATAGAAATTCCTACCGCTTATGGTTGTGGTGAGGGCTGAAGACATAAGATGGGTGAAGCCTTTGCATGTAGCACTTGCTTTGTGGCTAAGTCGCAGACTCTGGGAACACATGTTGCCAAAAAATAAACCTTTCCATTGCTTACACTTACTACCTTCCTTATTCTTCCCCAGTCCTCTGGGGGAAGGTACTTTTATCCCATCTTAGGGGTGAAAATAGCGAGGGAAAGCAAAACCAAGCAATTCTGAGATGCGAAGCAATCAGCAGAGGTGGGATTTGAACTTACGTCATATAGCACTAGAGTTTATATTCTTATCCATTACGCTATACTGCCTTTTGTTGTAGTAATGTGTAGCATAGTGGTTAAGAGTAAGAAGCTTTGACATCAGCTAGACTAAGGTTCCTGTCCTGGCTCTGCTAGTCTCTGTGGCTGTAACCTTGGAGAAATTACTTTCTGAACTTCAGTTTCCTTCTTAAATGAAAATGTTAAGTTTTGACACATAGGGTTTGAATGAGAACATGTGTGAAGTCCTTAGAGAAGGGTCTGTTCATGTAGTGAACCCTCATTTAAGGGTTAATTACTCCTTACTTGTAGGCCAGGCCAACTCTTCCTTTTACAGAGGTGGAAATCTAGGTGTCTCAACAGAGGGAAGATACCTTGTTAAAGGACATACAACCAATTAGAAGCTGCTAAAAAGCCAGGCATTAGGAAACTTGTGCTGAGGTCCTCTCCCCCTTAACTCCATTATATTTTGGTCCCCCGCCCCATACACTTCTCCATCCATCAGCTAGTGATTATTTGGAGTTGCCTCTGCTTTTCTGATTGACTGACAAGTTAGATTCCTGGGTGCAGCATGGATGTACCCAAGTACATGGCCTTCAAACTACCTCCTGTGCTCTGGACCTCTCCTTAGCTTCATGTGGTTGTCCTTGTACCTTTTCTGTTTGTTGAGCAACTCCCGCTTAGGGGCAGAGGCCATGCTAGTTTCTTATGCCCAAACCCACGGAGCACTGCCAGAGAGTACCCTTGTGGCCACAGGATACCCTTGAGCCCGAGGTGGTCACAGGTTTATTGGTGCTGGGAAAGCTTGGCGTGTGGTGAGTGGAAGTCCTGTCTCCCTTTTACTACTGGTAAGCTTCAGAAGTGGGATTTGAACCTGTGCAGTTCAGCTCTAGTGCAGTTCAGTTCACCTGTCTGTACTCAAGTGCCCAGGAGGCCGAAACTGGGAAGCTGCCAGTTTCTGGATGGGGCCTAGTTAGGCTCACTGGGTTATGGGTGTGTAGCTACTTGCTTTTACATACTCAGTGTACTCAATTATTTGTGCTACGAGGAGCACCAAAGAAGAACTGATGCATTTGAATTAGGGTCTTGGCAGAAGTGTTGACTATACCATGGAGTGCCAGAAGAACAAACAAATCTTTCTTAGAAGAATTACAGCTGGAATGCTCTTTGAAAGTGAGGATGGCAAGACTTTACCTCTCTTATTTTGGTCTTGTCAGGATGGACCAGTCACTGGAGAAGGATATTGTGAAAAAGAGAAAGAGCCTCAGTGAGATTGATTGGCACAGTGGCTGCATCAGTCGGCCCAGACCTGGTGAGGGTGGCAGGGACTGGGCAGTGCTTTGTGCTCTTGTACGTAGGGTCGCTGTGACTTGGAACCGACTCAGTGACATCTAACAACAACCTAACAATGACATAGGTACTGTTCTAGGTACTAGGAGAACCACAGTGAATTTAAAGAAACAAACCAACCAGCCGCATAGTAACTCAATGAAGTTATGCTTGAGTACACTGAAGCACTGAGAAGCCCCCGTGGACCTTGTATCTTATGCAGAAGACAGGCAACACGTGAGTAGACAGACCAGGTAGTCACATTGGGACAAGAAGTATGAGGGAAATAAAATAGGAAGATGTAGTGACTGGGGTGGGGAGACTCCTTAAGGTGGTCAGGGAACCTCTCTCCTCCTGGGATGAGGTGGTGGTAATACTCCATGAAAAGGAGCTAGCTTTGCAGAACTCTGGGGGGAATACCATAGATGGCGAGCCAAGGTCCTGGCGCAGGCTGGGGCTCGGTCTGGTCCAGTGCATGGTGAGGGGAAGGCGGGACAGGATCACACAGGGCCTTGGAGGCCATGGAAAGGACTTTGGGTTACTCTACACGACAGTGGAAAGGTTTTGAGCAGGGGAGTGAGTTGCTTTACTTTTTGATGGGGATGACGGGCTGTTACTGAGAATGAGTAGGGAAGTGGAGACGCAGGGAGACTTGTTGGATCAGTACTTTTCGTATTTATTAGTGAGATGTGAAGTCATTTTTAGGGTGTTGTAAGCAGTGTTTTTATTTTTAATGAGAGTAGAAAACATCACTGTGTCACTGTGATGGGGGTAGAAGAGCACTGAAGTACTGAGGGCTGGGGAGTAATTGGTGTTAGAGATGATGGAGTGGCTCAGCTTGGAGAAGTTGGCCAGCTCTAACCTCCGCCTCATAGGAACCAGCTCTGTGCTGATTCTTACTAAGTAAATTAATTATTTAGCTGGTAATCACTAGGAAGGTATGTGGGCACCCACAGATCTCAGCAGTTCCCTAGCCTCTGTCTTTTGGGTATTTCCTTTATGACTGGGCCTAGGCCAGTAGGCAGAACAAACTCTCCCAGAGAATGATCTTGTCTTGGGAAGCTCCTAGGCTTCATCTTAGTGCCTATGAACTAGTAGTTCCTTGCTCACCTGGAAGTTCCCACAGAGGAAGACATCTGTCTGTGGCAGTTGGCCCTCAGTGCAGATAGGGTAGGGTCTTGGGTTCTCCTTCCAGCCTCTCTTCTGGGCACTTTAGAAAACTGAACCCCCTGCCATCAAGCCAGTTCTGACTCATAGTCACCCCCATTGAGTTTCCAAGGCTGTAAATCTTTACAGAAGTAGATTGCCTCATTTTCCTTCCATGGAGCAGCTGGTGGGTTTGAACCACTGACCTTCTGGTTAGCAGGCAAATGCCTTGCCCACTGCCCCACCAGAGCTCTTTCTTCTGGGCACTGTGGTTACTTTAAACTCTGTCTTTGGGGACTTCTGGTTCCATGCAGGCCTCTGTCTCCTGAACCGGTGTTGGAGCCCATCTGGACTCTTTCTTTCTAGTCTGTCTTTTCTGTCCCCTCCAGACCTTCCTCTACTCAAAATCCTTTCGTAGCTCCCTATTAAATAGCCTTCTTGTGATACATTTATTTACACAAGAGGTGAGTATTGAGTGCCTGCTGTGTGCCAGGCACTGTGCTAGGCCCTAGTGGCACAGCAAGGAACAAAACAGACCAAAATTTCTGCTTTCATGTAGCTTATAGCTTTGTGGGGTGGGGATGGGGGCAGATAGTACACACCTATACAGGACAATACTGCTTTGGCATTTCCCCCCTTTTGATCAGAATTTTTATGTAGAATCTTACTCAAACTGTTCAGTAATGGTTGCTGGGCACCACTCAGTTGTTCTGGTCTCATGTCAAAGGAAGAACTTGTTCAAGGAGGCAGTTCAAGGCTGTAATCATTGTGGAAGCAGGTCACCAGGTCTCTCTCTATTCCAACAGGGTGGCTTGTGGGTTCAAACTGCCAACCTTTAGGTTACCGGCCAAATGCTTAACCACTGCATGCTCCTTCACCCCCTAGTAGCCACTAGTAAGCTTTGGTCTCTATGCATTTGCCTGTTCTAGATGTTTCATGTAAGGAGGCCCTGTAGTGTTTGTCCTTTTGTGTCTGACTTATTTGACTCAACATTTTTTTTTTTTTTTTAATTGATACGGGTGAAAGTTTGCAGAGCAAATTCACTTTCCATACAGCAGCTCACATACACTTTGTCTCATGACATTGACTGTAATTTCCCACAGTGCAACAGCTCCCCTCTCACTTTGTTTTTAAGGATCATCTATGTCATTGCCTGTATCAGGACTTCATTTCTTCTTTATGATTGGATAGCATTCCATTCGATGGATACACCATTTTGTTACCCATTCATCTGTTGATACATACATGGGTTCTGTCCACCCTTGGGCTGTTGTAAATAGTGCTACAGAGAGCTAACAGCATTGTTTTGTATTTGTTATTTTTGTTTCTGGTATCCTGCTTATGGTAAGGGGCAGTTGTCTCCAATTTACAGTTATGAAGTGAGGGTTGCTTTTTAAAGATGTTTATTTAAATTAAAGAAAATCAATTGATTTAAAGAGAACATTAAGTATTTCAGATGTTAAGTAGATAAGCTATAAATTGTGATGGTCTTAACCAAAAGACATAGGTTTGGGAACTGCTGAGATCTGTGGGTACCCAAGTGCCTTTCTAACAAATTATTTATTTAATAAGAATCAACACAAAGCTGGTTGCTATGAGGTGGAGGGGAGTTCTGGTGGCATAGTGCCTATGGCACTTGACTGCTACCCAGAAGGCTGGCAGTTCAAACCCACCAGCCACTCCTCGGAAGGAAGATGGGGCAATCTACCTTCCGTAGTGATACTGCCTCGGAAACCCAAGGAGGGGTCGCTGTGAGTCGGGTCCGACTCGACGGCACATAACAACAACAACAACAACAACAACATGAGGTGGATGTTAAAGATGCCCCAGATGTCCATTGTTTCCAAGCTGCTGTACTGCTTCATCATCTCTAACCAACTGCTCCCTCTCCCTTCAATTCTTTAAACCCCTCCCACCTTGGGTTCAGTTATTTGCTGCAACGTCTAACAGAACTCACCAGCTGTACTTACAGTTACATGCTTTATTAGCAAGTGGCAGGAGCAACTTGGAAGTAACTGGGTGTAACTCAGGAAACAGGATGCAGTTCAGCCGTCAGGACTGTGCTCGGCTGTGCTGCAGCAAGTCATGCTAGTAGGCCCTTCTCGGCTGAGAACAGCTCTCAGTCACTGGCTACCACCATGCTGCCTGAGGTCTGGTTCCCAAGCTTCTGCCCTGCCTCTGGGCTGGGCCTGGGCAAGTGTTGCAGCTCTTTTGGCTCCACCGACAAGTGCCCAGAGGCACTCTGCTCTGTCCGCAAGCCTGCTGCCTGAACTCTGGGCCAACAAGCATTGCTGCAGCCATCTCCCGGTCTCGTGGTTCCTACCTCCAGTGTTACAGCTCTTAACCAGATTACAGCTCTTTTAGGAGGTTCTCCTCATGCTTCTCTAAAAACTCTGTTGGTGTGTCTGCTTATAAGCAAACACCTTGTCAGTTTCAAGGCATGACCCTCCCAGCCCAGCCATAAACCTGACCAATCCCTCACAAGGTCACTTAATCTTATTGGGTGGTTTTATGTACCCTATTTGCATAGCAATTGACCAATCCCTTGCAAGATTTTTGGTGTAGTGATAAGGCATTTGCCTGCTAACCAGAAGGCTGGCAGTTAGAAATCACCAGCCACTCCATGGAAGAGGGACTGGGCAGTCTGCTTCCATAAAAATTTACAGCCTTGGAAACACAGTTGGGGTTGCTATGAGTCGGAGTCAACTCAACGGCAGTGAGCTTGATTTTGGGTTTTTGCAAGATTTTTGGCAGAATTATAATTCTAAGCCCAGAAAGGTCATATATAAGAGAAGCCCATTTGCCTGCACCAGCCTTCCGCCCCGCTGAATTACTCCCCACCCCCCCATGGAGACCTGCAGCCTTCCTTCTTTTGCTTCTTGGTGAAGTGCCTCCTGTCACCTGGCATTCCTCCCCTTTGCTGTCCAAAGCATTCTATCCTTCAAGGCCCAGTCCCAGTGCTCCCCTCCACAACCCCATCTCCCAGCAAGAAGGCCTTTCCCTTCCCTCGTCTGAAGTTACCTGAAGTCTGACGGCCTAGATTTGAAAGGCAGTTGGTCTTGCTGTGTGACTGGGCAACTCGTCCATGTAAAGTGTCTCTAAACTCCAGTTTCCCTGTCCTAAAATGGGGCAATCATTTGTGGGGTTGTTAAGTTGATTGCTGAGAGAAAGGTATGTGAAGACTGTCATTTTAGACACAAAACTCCTACACAGAGGAGCAGAATCATACTCCATTCTGTGGATACACCACCTTTTATTTACACATTCACTTGGGGTAAGGTTCTGAAGTCAGCATGAAAAGTGACTGTAAACAAAGTCACTCTGGGAAAGCCTTTGAATGGTCTGCTCTTCCTGTTTGATGTCTGAGTCTTGAAAGCTTCTTCGCAGCCTTTAATTAGTTCTCAAGTGTTCTAACCATGGCTGTGGACCAGTCAGCCTCTGTCCCCCGGCCGGGTGATGACTTCTGTGTGAGTGGTCAAGAAGTCCTTAAAACCAGACCTTTGTTCTTCCCCACGGGACAGCTACCAGGTGTTGACTCTTGTCTGTTGATTTGCACCCGTTGCTGCTTTTCTCTCTCTCTCTGTCTCTCTCGGCTGATGGGGTCTTTAGTTGACAATCTACTGTTGAATCCACAGCAGGTGTAGAAAGGTCAGTTTCTGTTTGTCTAGGGCTCTCACTTTCAGGGCAACTGCCCCAGAAATGTTGGTTGAATGACTGATTGATGGTCCAGGCCTCTTTTCCTTTCAGATCAAGTCCAAGGACTGCACGGCTGGCTCACCCCTAGTATGGCCAATGAAGAGGATGACCCAGTTGTACAGGAGGTAACTTAGTTTCCACTCTCTGCCTGGGGTGGCAGGGAGAAGTACCTGGGCCCAGGGCTGCAGGTAGCAGGGCTGGGTCCTTTCTGGCCCTCCTCAGGGCATTCTGGAATCTGTTGGCTTCCAGTGGACCCCCAATCCTTATCGTTCCCTCTGCTATAACTCTCTTCCCCCAGATATCTGAATGGCTGACCCCACACTTCATTCAGGTCTCTGATCAAATATCAGCCAACAGGAAGGCCTTCCCTGACCACCCTACCTCATGTTGTACTCTCCTGTGCCCCTCACTCCCTTGCCCCCTTACCTTGACCGTATCTTGTGTTTGGCCATAGCACCCACCATCCCTGAGACATAACTTTGTTTGCTTATTGCCTGTTTCCTTCTGCTGGACTATAAGTTACCTGAGGGCAGTGATTTTGTTCTCTTCACTGCAGCATCTGTAGCACCAAGTACAATGCCAGCATGTTATCTGTCTGCAGTGACTATTTGTTGAATGAATGAATGGGCCTGACACCTCCCTCCCTGAATCTGGGAAGTCATTTGGTGGCTTTTCATTGAATCCCTCCTGTGCCGGGGGCTGTGACAACCCTCAGGAAGCTCATGATCTGTGGCACAAGACTGGCAGGGCAGGGGGCTCAAGATGTTGGCAGTGGAGAGGGGTAGGTTCTTGAGTCAGCAAAAAAGGAAAAAATTGTTCATAGTGAAACTTACCCTTCAAAATCCTCCCAACCTAGGACCTAGACCTTTGGAGGTCAAAAGCCAAGAAGTAACTGCGTTTTGTTGTGATCTTGTATGTGGAGACCGAAGTCTAGTTTGAAGTGAGGGGGCAAAGAGGTCTCTGGAGATGGAGGAAGGTGATCTTTTCTTTGAATCCCTTCTTTGGAGAGATGATTAAGTTTCCACGTCTGAGTTGTTGGAGTTCATTTAAACTGGGACTCCACTGCAGTAACAGGAATTCCAGTGAGGGTGACTGGTGCTGGGCTAGAGGGAGGCTTGAGACAGGCTCTCTGCCACCTGGAAGCCCTGGAACACTTCGTGAATAAAGTGGTGACTCAGTTGTGTCTTTCAAGATGAGTAAGGAAGGCATGTGGGAAGGGCACTCTAGGTGGAGGGACAGCCTATACAAAGAGCCAGAGGTGGGAGAGAGCTTGGTTAACATGGGGAGCTAGGAAGCAGGAAGGTTACCTGCTTGCTGTGTGCTGGGGCAGGGCCAGGTCGGTCAGGCAGGGCCTTGCAGGCCATGTTGGGACAGGGTAATAGGCCAATCCACGTACCTTATCCTCCTGGTAGGCCATCTCATCTGGCTCTGGGGAGCATCCTAAGTTGGGGACCTGGGGTAAGATGCCTATTGGGTTATGGTGAAACTGGGTCAGGAAGCCAGGCCCAGACTTGACCTGGTCCCCTAGGAGTTTGTAGGGGGCCAGTCCTGGGCTGTTGGGTGGAGACATTTCCAGATTAGAGACTTGGTTCCCTTTGTGTGTGGCATGAGCTAAGGTGTTTCCCCCAGCCTGCCTCTCTGAGCCACTGCCCCTTACCTGAAATTTGGGTGCATGCTTTGGGCAGATCGGGACATTGTGTTCTGTCTCCTGGTTAAATCTTCTTCCCTTGCTTTCCAGATTGACGTGTACTTGGCCAAAAGTCTGGCAGAGAAGCTCTATCTGTTTCAGGTAATTATGGAACTTAAAGGGGGAGAAAGCAAGTGCTGGGGGGATAGGAGGAATACAGTAAGTGGTGGGCAAGGAATGATGGGAGATGTTTTCCTTGCTTAAATTCTGCATGTGGCTTTTATGGGTGAGACTCTTATTTCAAAGATGGGCAAACCAAGGCGGTGGTCACATGAGAGGCAGAATGGAGAATAGTTCGAAGCTTGGGTCTGAGCTCACAGAGTTGACATTGAGGCCCAGCTTCTTTACAACTTAGCTGCGAGCTGACGGGCAAGTTCCTCTTTCTGTGCCTCAGTTTCCTCATTTGGAAAATAGAGTAATAAAGGGGTCCCATCGGGTCCCTAGAGGATTGGAGGAATCTATATTAAGTGCTTAGGAGCTCTGGTAGTATAGTGCCTAAGGTGCTTGACTGCTAACCAGAAGGCTGGCGGTTCAAACCCACCAGCCACTCCTCGGAAGGTTGGGCAATCTACTTCCGTAGTGATACTGCCTCATAAACCCAAGGAGGGATCGCTATGAATTGGTCCGACTTGACAGCACATAACAACAACATATTAAGTGTTTACCACTTTGCCTGGCACAGTTGGCATTGATGAAGGTAGTGTGTTATTATTGAGGCTCAGAGAGGGGACTACTGGAGGGTGAACAGCAGGCCCAGACAGAAATAGGGGGTCCTCTGTCCTGTCACTACGGGTTCCCTGATTTGTTTTCCCTGCCACTTCCCCTCCTTGCTGTCCAGTAGTTTGTAACCACCACTGCCATTGAGTCAATTCCAACTCGTGGCAATCCCCATTGGGTTTCCAAGGCTATAAATCTTTATGGAAGTAGATTGCCTCATCTTCTTCCCTTGGAGCAGCTGATGGATTTGAACCTGTGACTTCCTGGTTAGCAGCTGAATGCCTTACCCACTATGCCACCAGAGCTCCTTAGTTTGTGATACTGGCTGGCATATATTAAACACTGACTGTGTGCAGGCACTTTTGACAGTGTTTACATATAAACTCATTCAGTCCTCACATAACTGGTTATTATTATTATTAAACAACTTCATTGAGATATGATTTACACCTATACAATTCATCCATTAAGTATAAAATTCAGTACATGTTAGTATATTGATGGGGTTGTACAGTCATCACCACAGTCTAATTTTAGGACATTTTTGTTGCCTCTGAAAGAAGGTTCCTCTTAGCACTCACATCCCATTTCCCTCACTCCCTTCCTTGGCCCTAAAAGCTATACAAACCAAACCCGATGCTATTGAGTCAATTTCAACTCATAGCGACCCCACTGGGTTTCCAAGGCTATAAATGTTTACGGAAGTAGATTACCTCATCTTCCTTTCGCAGAGGAGCTGGTGGGTTTGAACTGTTGACTTTCTGGTTAGCAGCCAAATGTCTTACCCACTACGCCACCAGAGCTCTTAATTGACTTTCCCTCTCCAGATTTGCTGATTCTGAACATTTCATATAAATGGAATCATACAATATTGGCCTTTTGTGGCCTTTTTGTCATTCAGTCGGCATACTGGTTTCAAGGGTCATCCACGTTATTGATATTATTATGGCTAATGTCCATTTTATGGATGCACCTCATTTTGTTTATCCATCATCAGTTGATGGACGTTTGGGCTCTTTCCACTTCTTGGCCGTTAGGAATAATGCTTGCTGCAGTGAGCATTTATGTAGAAGTTTTGTGTGGACATACGCTTTCATTTCTCTTGGGTTTGTACCTAGAAGTGGAATTGCTGGGCCATATGGTAGCTCTATGTTTAACTTTTTGAAGAACTGCCAGACTGTTTTGCACCATTTTACATTCTCACCAGTAAAATTATTTTAAGTATTTTTATCCCTATTTTGCCTATGAGAAGATGAGGCATGGGTTGACTAGTAACTTGCACAAAGAGCTGTGGTTGCCGTGTTACTCTTGGAAGAGCCCTGGACTTGGAGGCAGGAGGCCTGGTGTCTACTCCCCATCTGTGCCTCTACCAGCCCTGTGCTGTGGGCCTATCATTGGACAGTCTTCATCTGCTTCCTTCAGTGCAGAATAGTGGCAGCAACGGGCCCATGTGTGATTGCGGTTGCCTTTGCCTTGTTCCATGTTTGTAGCAGCCCTGTGAGGTGAGGAGACTTAGGTACAGAGCTTGCCCAAGGCCTCACAAATACCGGGTGGCAGATTTGGGACTTGATGCAGGCTTTCTAATTCCAGAGCCTGGTGCCTGTCACCACCACCCTTCTCAGCCCAAGGTCAGAGGATCCCGGAGTTGCCGTGGGCCTTGGCAGCCAGGGCATCTTGGGGGCTTTGGATCCCCTGTCCCAGCCCTGACCCTTCTCAGGGTTTGCATCTAGACCAGCTGTGTTCTAGGCTGTGGTGCTTCTTGCACACAGCCGGCTGCCATCCCAAGCTCCAGCTTGGGAAGCAGGGAGGGGTCATCATTGCTATTTAAGTGAGCTTTTAGGGTATAACTCTTTTCTTGAGCTAGACTGTAGCTGACCTGAAATGGCCCCTAAAATTGGAGTTGACTTTGTACACTCTCTAACATTTCCACCAGACTCTTCCAGAGACTGTGATGGTGCAAGGCCATGGGGGCCAGAGAGCTCTGAGGGCAGGTCTAAACCAGGGCTTATCTCCACCTGTAGGACAGTGTACAGAAAAGGGCAAGTCCACACCAGTGCTTAGGCCCCTGAGGATGGGTCTGCACCAGCACTCGCACCCCCATAGAACAGTGAGGACTGACGTGGCAAGGTGTCCCCGGGTGTTAGGTGAAAGAAGCAGGTCCGAACAGTACTTTAAAGCATGAACCCATTTATACTGTGATAGTTTTACACATGAGGGCACTGAGGCTGAGAGCTCTTTCTGAGTGAGTCAGTGGCAGACCAGCTGCCATCTCTGTAACTTTTTATTGTGGAAAAGTTTACACATGTGCAAAAGTACAGAACAGGGTATAGTGAATTCCCATGTCTCCACCGTCCAGCTGCAGTGATGAATAGCCCTTTGTCAGTCTTCCCTTCCTTGTCTCATTTAACTTGTCTTTCTAGCCCCATGTGACCTGAGGACTGATAACCTAGAACTAGGGCCCTTGCTCTTGACCCCCGGGGCAGCACTCTCTGGGTTACTAGAAGCTGTTTGGCAATGTATGATGGCCCTGTTTGGGTTCCTACTGCTTGGGCAATGTCCCCATGTCCCTAGAAGTTAGAGGCATTTTAAAATTGGTCTTGGAGACCATGGTCGCAGGGGACATCAAGCTCAATTGGCATAACACACTACACGAAAACATTGTTCCACATCCTTCTTTGGTGAATAGCGACTGGGGTCTCATAAGCTTGCAAGCAGCAATCTGGATGCAACGATGGGTCTCTCCTCATCCAGTGCAAAGAAGAATGACAAAAAGCAAAGGCACATGGAAATAATTAGTTGGAAGGACTAATAGACCATATGATCCTCAGCCTGTATGACTATGAGACCAGAAGAACCAGATGGTGTATAGCTACCACTGTCAACCACTTGGAGGAGGATTGGTGCAAGAGATCCTGGATAGAGTGAGAGAACAATGTGGAACAAACTCAAAATCATTTAAAAAAAGACCAGTTTTGCTGGTTTGATAGAGCCTGGTGAGACCCCCAAGACTATGGTCTCTAGTTATTCTTCAGGTCTGGAAATAACTCACTTGTGTGGCTTCCAGCCAAACAGCAGACAGGCATATGGGGTGAACATTTACGACGGGTAGATACACTCCTTGGAGTGAGAGATTGTGAGAGAACAGAAGGGCAGTGTTTGCATTAGGGAGACAGCTCAGGGCAGGAGTGCATGGGAGGGAAGAACACAGGGAAGAGGTAACGACTGGGAGAAAGTGGGAAGGAAGCTGTTTCATTGTGGGGGATTGCAGTTAATGTCATGAAACAAAATGTGTATGAACTGCTGTGCGGAAAATGAATTTGCTCTGTAAACTTCCACCTAAATCATAATAAAAATAAATAAGGTAGAATTGTCCTTAGGAAGGTGGCTAGGTGAGGTCAGTGGCAAGTAGGGCTGCAGCCATGACCAGCGGTGGAGCTTTATGTCCAGACTAGTGAAGCCCTGGGGTCCTTGGATCTCTGTTTGAGGGGGCTGGGGTGTGGCTGTTGATCCTTGACTGGAAGCCCCAGGAGCTCAGCTCTGACCGGGGGCTGAGCAGTGTGGTCTGACGGCACCCTTTCCCTCCCCAGTACCCGGTGCGCCCAGCCTCGATGACCTACGATGACATTCCACACCTCTCAGCCAAGATCAAGCCTAAGCAGCAGAAGGTGGGCCTGGGAGTGGGGAGGCAAGGGGACGGGCCCTTAGGGGACTGGAAGCCCAGAGAAGGGGCGATTGGAGAGTTAAGAGGTGAACCAGCAGCTTATGGGGTCTTAAAAGCCGAGCAAGGAAAGTTTTGAGAAAAGTAAGTCGTTGGGTAGCTCCAGTGCAGCCAGGGAGGACAGAGCTCAAGGTGAACGAGGTTGGTGTGTGTGGAGCCGGGGGCATGAAAACATGTTCACAGGGAGAGGTGGGGCGAAGATGCAGGCCCCACACGTCTAGTGTCTAGGAGGGGTGGTGACGAGGAGAAGGGAAACACAGGCCTGGCGGTGGGCCAGTGGAACTTGAGCGCAGTGGGGCTGCCGGGAGGGGCTCTTCCACTGTCCCCAGCTCTGCGGCGTTTTCAAGAGCAGTTAGTAATAGGATTTTTATGAGAAATCTCTTGGCTTTCAAATGTTGCCACCTAATGTAGATCTTTGGGGGTGGGGTGGGGGGACAGACAAAGCTCTAGTGTCAACTTAAACCTGGGGGCCCTGCAGGATGGACACCTGTCCCTGCATCTGGGCAGGGGCAGGATTGGTAGGGACCAGTGTTAGAGGTGGCCAAGGTGGGGTTGGGGGTGCCCCTGGGAAACTGTGCCTCGGGGTCCTCATAGCAGGTGGGGGTGCTTGGTGCCTCCAGGTAGAGCTTGAGCTGGCCATCGACACCCTGAATCCCAACTATTGCCGCAGCAAAGGGGAGCAGATCGCGCTGAACGTGGATGGCACGTGCACTGACGAGACCAGCACATACTCCTCGTGAGTTCCCCACCCCCGAGACTGCTGGGCTTCGTGCTGTTCAGATATGAGGCTTCAGGAGGCCGGACAGACACCTGGGTAGTCTCTTCTGCCCCACTGCTGGCTCCCCACAGTGTCCTAGCCTTCTGACACTGTCCCCGGAGTTAAGCTGTTGTGTGTGCATGCATGTGTGTGTGTGAGAGAGAGAGTGACAGACTTCCTCGCTTGGGAATGCCTATCCCGAGTCCATTCCCCCAACCACGGTTCTGTGTGGGACTGAGTGGAAATTGGCCCTACAGTATCTGCTTCTCCTGTCTCTTGGTGCACACAGCCTGACAGGCTGAAGTCTCTCATCCCCAGCTCCCCTCCCAAGGCACATACAGCCCGCCTTTGGCCTTGATCCCTGGCTTTTAGATTTCAGAAGGTGTTGGGGAGAGTGGGCTGTGCCACCTGGCCCTGGCACTTCCCCTCCCTTGACGATGCTTCTCCCTGTGCTCCCAGGAAGCTGATGGACAAGCAGACGTTCTGTTCTTCCCAGACCACCAGTAACACATGCCGCTATGCGGCTGCACTCTACAGGAAAGGTAATGGGCTGGGTCTCCTTGGGCTGTGGTGGCTCATGGATCCTGGTTGTCAGTGCTTAGGTGAGAGGGAAAACAGGAAGAGGCTCAGACAGGGAGAGGCAGTACCTGGCCTTGAGTCCTGCTCTGCCTCCTCCGTCTGCATGACACCCACAGAAGCCAGGCAGGCTGTGGAAGTAAGTGCGTGTGGAGTTGGGAGTGAGGAGCTGTGAAGTGGGGGGACAGCCAACTGTCTGGGGCTGGTGGCAGCTCTGCAGCCACAGATAGCACTGTAGGAATCCAGACCCAGGAGCACCGGACCTTCAGGGTGTTGTAAGACAACCCAGAATTCTCACCTTTCAGGTAAAGCCTCATTTTTTAAAAATTGGCAACTAATTTTTTTTCCTCTGCATACATTTTTTCCATGGAAAGGATGACTGCTTTTTTTTATTATTATGATGATGATTTGGGTGAAAATTTACAGAGCAAATTCACTTTTCCATAAGCAGCTTGCATACACTTTGTGTCATGACACTGACTACAATTTATCACAATGTAACAGCTTCCCTCCCACTTCCTCCCCAAAGTTACCTCTTGCCTGTGTCCATCCCTCCATGCACTCCTGCCCCCTGAGCTGTCTCCCTGTGCATACACAGCCCTTCTTTCTCCCATGATTGTTCTCTTCAAGGAGTGTATCTACCTCAGGTAAATGTTCAGCTCATATGTCTGTGTACTGTTTGGCTGGAAGCCACAGGGGTGTGTTCAATTTCAGACCTGAAGGGCAGCTAGGGGCCATAGTCTCACGGGTTCCACCAGGCTCTATCAGACCAGCAAACCTGCCCCCCCCCCCCTTTTTTTAAATGATTCTGAGTTTTGTTCCACATTGTTCTCCCGCTCTGTCCAGGATCTCTCCTACATAGATCTCCCTCCAAGTGGTTGACAGTGGTAGCTGGGCACCACCTAGTTCTTCTGGTCTCATAGTTGTATAGGCTGAGGATTGCATGGTATACCAGTCACTTGGACTAATTGTTTCCATGAATCTTTGGTTTTCTTTATTTGCTCTGGATGAGGAGAGATCCATCGTTGCATCTAGATGGCTGCTTGCAAGCTTTTAAGATCCCAGTCACTACTCACCAAAGTAGGAGGTGGAACAGTGTTTTGTGTATGTAGTGTGTTATGCCAATTGAGCTTGATGTCCCCTGCAACTATGGTCCTGAGCCCACAGGTCCAACTACTTGCTCCCTCTGGGTAGCTGGATGTGGCCAAGTGACTACAACCTTGTCCCTTGTCAGCTCTACTGTATACCTGGGAATTCTTACAGAATATACCAATATGCTTGTAGAAATATTATCTGTCAATTGGCAGCTAATTTAAGTGGAAAAAACACACACATGCACACACACACAGGGCCAAACAGATTGTCAAATTCCTGGAATCGGTCCCCTTTCAGGACTTCAGAGGAGACACTGCCCAGTGCAGTAGAGGTGAAGCTTTAGGGTCAGCATCCTCCAGGGCCACACACATGCACACACACACATGTATACACACATGTACACACAAGCACACAGCTTAACTTTCAGGACCAATGGGGGAATTTTTATTTATTTATAATTTTTAATTTTCTTAATACAAGACATTTAAAACCCAATAATTCCACTATCCTGATCAAGAGAAGTAAAAACATGCATCCACTTAAAAACTTTCATGAAAATATTGATACTGGCATCATACACGATAGGGAGAAAGTGGAAAGAGTCCACATGTCTATCAGCTGATAAATGGATAAACAAAAATGTGGCCAATCCATATGGTAGCTACTTCTCAGTCATTTAAAGGAATGAAATGCTGATACGTACTGAGACATAGACGAACCTTGAAACATGTTAGGTGAAAATAGCCAGTCATATAAGACCACCTATGATTCCATCTATATGAAATGACTAAACTAGACAAATCCATTGAGATATAAAGCAGATTGGTGGTTGCCAGGGGCTAGGAGTGTTGTTGTTACGTGCCGTTGAGTTAGTTTTGACTTGTAGTGACCTCATGTACAACAGAATGAAACACCAGTTAGTCAGATGCCTCAGAATCCTTGCTGTTCTTGAGGTTGTTGTTGGCAGCCGTCATGTCAGTTCACTTTGGTGAGGGTCATCATCTGTTTTGCTGACCCTCTATTTGACCAAGCATGATGGCCTTCTCCGGGGACTGTTCCCTTCTAATAACACGTCCGAAGAAGGAGAGGCAAAGTCTCATCATCCTCGCTTCTAAGGAGCATTCCAGCTGTACTTCTTCCAAGGCAGGTTTGTTCATTCTTTTGGCAGTCCATGGTATATTCAGTATTCTTTGCCAACACCACAGTTCAAGTGCACCCATTCTTCTGTGGTCTTCCTTATTCATTATCCCGCTGTCATGTGCATATGAGGCTATTGAAAATAACATGGCTTGGATCGTGAGCATCTTAATCTTCAAAGAGACTTCTTTGCTCTTTAACACTTTAAAGAGGTCTTTTGCAGCAGATTTGCCCAATGCAGTGTGCCATAGGATTTCTTGACTGCTTCTTTCACGAGCATTGTGGATCCAGGTCAAATGAAGTCTTTGACAACTTCAGTCTTTTTTCCATTTATCATGATGTTCCTTATTGGTCCAGTTGTAAGGATTTTTGTATTTTTTGTGTTGAAGTATAATCCATACTGATCTTTGATCTTCAGTAGTAAGTGCTTCAAGTCTCCTTCACTTTTAGGAAGCAAAGTTGTGTCATCTGTATATTGCATGTTGTTAATGAATCTTCCTGATGTTTCATTTTTCTTCATGTAGTCTAGTGCCTTGGGTTATTTGCTCAGCACACAGATTCAGTAAGTATTCAGTAAGGATACAACCCTGAAGCACATCTTTCCTGATTTTAAACACTGCTGTATCCCTTTGTTCTAGTCGAATGACTGCCTCTTAGTCAATGTGCAGGTTCCTTATGAGCACAGTTAAGTGTTCTAGAATTCCTGTTCTTTGTAGTGTTATAATTTGTTTTGATCCACATAGTCGAATGCCTTTGCATAGTCAGTAAAACACAGATAAACATCTTTCTGGTATTCTTTGCTTTCAGTCAAGATCCATCTGATAACAGCAATGATATCCCTCATTCTACGTCCTCTTCTGAATCCGGCTGGAATTTCTGGCAGTTCCCTGTTGATGTACTGCTGCAATCATTTTTTAAATTATATCAGCATAATTTTACTTGAATGTGATATTAATGATATTGTTTGATAATTTCTGTGTTCTGTTGGAGCACCTTTCTTTGGAATGGGCACATATATGCATCTCTTCCAGTTAGGTGGCCAGGTAGCTGTCTTCCAAATTTCTTGGCATAAATGAGTAAGCAGCTCCAGTGTTGTATCAATTTGTTGAACAATCTGATTGGGTGTTCCATCAATTCCTGAAGGCTTGTTTTTTGCCAGTTTTTTTCAGTGCAGCTTGGACTTCTTCCTTCAGTACGATTGATTCTTGATCACATGTTGTCTCCTGAAATGGTTGACTATCAACCAGTTCTTTCTGATATAATCACTCTGTGTATTCCTTCCATCTCCTTTTGATGCTGCTTGTATTGTTCCATGTTTTGCCCAGAGAGTCTTTCCATATTGCAACTCAAGGCTTGAATTTTTCCTTCAGTTCTTTCAGCTTGAGAAATGCAGAATGTGTTCTTCCCTTTTGATTTTCAAACTCCAGGTCTTTGCACATTTCATTATAATACTTTACCTTGTCTTCTCAGGCTGCTCTTTGAAATCTTTCAGATTTTTTACTTTATCGTTTCTTCCATCGGCTTGGCTACCACCATGTGTCTGTTAGTTTTTTATACTGTGGCAGCTTGTGTGTTACTGTCATGCTGAATGCTATGCCACTAGTATTTCAAATACCAGCAGGTTCACCCTTGGTGGGTGGGTTTCAACGGATATTCCAAAGATTGGGAAGAGGGAGGAGGTGGTCTACTTCTGAAAACAATTAGCCACTGAAAACTTTATGAATAGCAGTAAAACATTGTCACATATAATGCCAAAACATGAACCCCTCAGTTGGAGGGAATGCAATACATTTGGGGAAGAGGTGCCTCCTCAAAGTAGAGGTGACCTTAATGATGTAGATGGAATAAAGCTTTGAGAACTTTCATTTGCTGATGTGACACAACTCTAAATGAGAACAAACAGCTGCAAATACCCATTAATAATTGGAATGTGGAATGTGGGAATCTAGGAAAATACAAAAATCCTCACAACTGGAACAGTATGCAACATGGAATCTAGGATAATAGGAAATTGTCAAAAATGCAGTTATAAAGATCAATATTCTAGGCATTAGTGAGCTGAAATTGACTGGTATTGGCCATTTTGAATTGGACAGTCTTATGGTCTACTACATGTGGAATGACAAATTGGAGAAGAATGACGTCACGTTCATCATCAAAAAGAACATTTCACAATCAGTCCTAAAGTACAGTGCCGTAAGTGATGGGATAATATCCATACACCTGTAAGAGGACCAGTTAATACAACTGTCATTCAAATTTATGCACCAGGAGTTCCAGTAAGATGGCGGAATAGGCAGACAAACCACACAGAACCTCTACAACAAAGAGAAGGGAAGCCAATTAACAGACACAGAAGATAATCCTGGAGCTCTGAGCTTTGCAAGGAAGGATACAGAAATGGATTAAACTCCAACTAGTAGAAGAACCTGCGTGAAAACACCAAAAAAAGGAGACATACGGAGCTGTGATCTGTCAGCCATCCTGACAGCATGGGCAGCTTGGATATTGACAAGTGGTGTTGGGACCTAAGAATTAAAGGTCCTAAAAATTGGCCTTGCTAGCCAGGGACTGCACAGAGGACTGCACTGGTGGCTGGTAAATAAAAGGGAAAGCAGTAAAGAGGGAGACGGGCTGAGCTGTGGAATTTTGGCTGTCCAGAGGGCATAGCCATTTTGAATGTTTACAAGCAGTTTGACCATTTTGGATCTTTAAATTGATAGTGTTCTCTCAG